TAGGGAGGGGTAAGTGGAAGGACGTGAGGGAGGAATGAGGCACAAGCCCTCAGTGGGGCAGACCAGGGAGACTGTTACTGTCTGCAGAACGTGCTGCCAGGCTCGCAGCCTCACGTCCAGGAGAAGCACCAGAGTGCCTCGGGCGGCTCCAGCTCCATGCTGCAGAGTGCTGTGCTGTCCTGAGTGAGGGCAACCAGAGCACACAGAGAAAAAAATGCTTTGCTGTCCCTCAGCGAGGCTGGCAAGCATGGGAGACCCTGACCCACTTTCCTGGCACCGTGTTTTTTCTATCCTGTGTAATGCCTTCTGCCTTTGATTTATCGATCTATCTAAAAAAAATTTTTGCAGCCAAGCAACTGCTCCGAGAAGCCCGTCTGCGTCTCATGGGAAACCACAGCTCAGAGTGGCAGCTGGTCTCCGGCAGGGTGCAGGGTCCTGAGCTCCAACACCACTCACATCACATGCAGCTGCAACCACATCTCCAGCCTGGCCGTCCTCATGGCATGGGGAGAGATAACGGTAACGGGACAGCACTTGCCCCAGGGCTTGGCAAGCATGGGAGACCCTGACCCACTTTCCTGGCACCGTGTTTTTTCTATCCTGTGTAATGCCTTCTGCCTTTGATTTATCGATCTATCTAAAAAAAATTTTTGCAGCCAAGCAACTGCTCCGAGAAGCCCGTCTGCGTCTCATGGGAAACCACAGCTCAGAGTGGCAGCTGGTCTCCGGCAGGGTGCAGGGTCCTGAGCTCCAACACCACTCACATCACATGCAGCTGCAACCACATCTCCAGCCTGGCCGTCCTCATGGCATGGGGAGAGATAACGGTAACGGGACAGCACTTGCCCCAGGGCTTGCAACACGAGGCTGCAGGCTTTGCTGGGGGAGCTGGGCATCCTCTTGGCAAAGTCTGAATGAGGTAAAGGAGGTAGCAGGGCAAGGTTAGAGGAAAAAATGCCACCAAAAAAAAAAAAAAAAAAAAAAAGACACTGCCCCTTTAAAAACCACAGGTTAGACTTTTTGGCCACATCAGGCTCCCACCAGCCAACACCATTTTGCCATGATGGATAGTTCCCCTGTGCCTGGTGAGCTCAGGGAGCCGGGGGCTGTTTGTAGGGGTGCATGGGGCAGATTTGCGACCCGGGGAGAGACTTCACAAGCCACATTTTCAGGGGTGAAGAGCCTCATGCGATTTGCGAGCTGCAGGTTGGCCACCCCTGTTATAAGAGGGTGGATAAAAATCAATGCTTTTTAAAAAAAAGTATTTCTCATTGAAAAATAAATTACAATTAACTGTGGTCACAAATGTGCTACACCTACCTACAGTCTCATACAAATGATTTAGTGGCTCTAGTCTGTCCAGCCTAACAACCAGCTCTGGCTGCTTAATAATTCCGGGATTTCAATTTTGTTTCTCAACAGACGTAAGTAACGTGGAAAGACACCCAGAGGCCAGATAGGATCGGGTTTGTTCTGTGCGTATGGGGTGGGGAACTGGGCCAAGCACGGCAGAGTTCATTCAAACATTGTTTAATGACAATGAGATGATATACAGGAAAGGACGGAGCCAGAGTAGAAAGGAGCAGTGGAGTGGACTGGAAAGGAAAAGGGAAGACATTATTCAGTGCACACACAGCTGCCTAGATTCCCTTTTGCTATAGAGAAATTGTCCTGGTTTCTGGATGTAAATGGGGCCCTATCTGGGAATATTTTGAAGAAATTTGTTCACTGGGTGAAAAAGAAAAACATCTCAAGTGTCAGCAGAGCAAGAAGAAAATGCAGGGCCTAGCTGCTAAAATGAAATACCATAAGGAAAACTGTTTATTGGGAGAAAACAATGTGGGCGAAAATGTGCGAATGTCTGAAGAACCATGTGGATCAACTTTCCATGGCCTCATGCTTCCAGACTCAATCTTTGCCTTTATTGAAGTGTGATTTGACAAGTAAATTCCCAAGCTGGTTGCTATGTTAGATGTTGCAAGAAAAAATATTTATCTCAGCTAATCTTTCTGGCTTGTTTAATTAGTTAAGTAGGTTTAGATTCTATTACCCGAATATACAGCACAGAAAGTTGTGGTAAGAGAAACCACCAAGTGTCATTTTCTCATGTACATTACACTAGCGTTACCATCCCATTGTGACAGTAGACGCACACTCAACTTGGCCTGGTCTGGAATTGCAACTTCAGCTGCAAGAGTTGTGTTCAGATTCTATGCTTGGCAGTGAGCATCCCTGTGCCTCAGTGCTCCTCTTGCCTCTGCTGTCCTTTTGGCTTAGGCATGTTGTCGTCTCTGAGCATCCCTCTGCCTCATTGCGTCTCTGGCTGGGTTCAGTTCTGTTTGTCACGGGATTGTTGTTGCCTGTGAACATCCCTCTGCCTCACTTCTTGCCTGGATTTCTCTCATGTTTCTCTTCAACACTTGTTTGAATTCAAGGAGGATAGGTCCATCAATGGGGCTGAAGCGCTGACCCCCCAAGGCTGAAACCCCTTTCTCTGGCGCCCCCACCAGTGGCTGCAGTCTGTTCCCCCATCCAGCCCTTGATGCAGGGCTCAGCCCCGTTCCTGGGCAGCACCCACCGAGAGACTGAGGGTATGTCTACACTACCCTCCTAGTTCGAACTAGGAGGGTAATGTATGCATACCGCACTTGCTAATGAAGCCCGGGATTTGAATTTCCCGGGCTTCATTAGCATAAGGGGGGAGCCGCCATTTTTAAATCCCCGCTGCTTCGAACCCCGTGTAGCGCGGCTACACGGGGCTCGAACTAGGTAGTTCGGACTAGGGTGCCTATTCCGAACTACCGGTACACCTCGTTTCACGAGGAGTAACGGTAGTTCGGAATAGGCACCCTAGTCCGAACTACCTAGTTCGAGCCCCGTGTAGCCGCGCTACACGGGGTTCGAAGCAGCGGGGATTTAAAAATGGCGGCTCCCCCCTTATGCTAATGAAGCCCGGGATTTGAATTTCCCGGGCTTCATTAGCAAGTGCGGTATGCATACATTCCCCCGCTAGTTCGAACTAGCGGGGGAATGTATGCATACCGCACTTGCTAATGAAGCCCGGGATTTGAATTTCCCGGGCTTCATTAGCAAGTGCGGTATGCATACATTACCCTCCTAGTTCGAACTAGGAGGGTAGTGTAGACATACCCTGAGGCTCTTTTGCTGCTGTGGCGCTGAAGCCCTGTTCCCAGGGGGCCACCCATCCCAGGGCTCAGCTCTGTTTTTAGGTGGCCCTGGCTGTGGGACTGAAGCCCTTTCACCTCCAGGGGGTGCAACTCAGTTGCCGGGTGCTCTCTCAGCCCCATTCCCAGATAGCCTCCACCGTTGGGCTGAAGCCCTTTTGCTGCCAGGGAGCTAAACCCTGTGGGGTGGGTCCACCCAGGAATGGGGCTGAGCCACACGGGGGTGGGGAGGAGGCGGGTTGGCTGGTGAGAGGGCTACAGCCCAGTGGCATCTGCCTGGGAACAGGGCTTCAGCCCTGTAGTTTTCTCATTCTGGCATTTTCTAGAAACTTCTCAAGTCTTCCAGTGTGTTCTCAAGTGTTCTCTGTGACAGACAGCGTGACCAATCTCCCTCCTTTTATGATACATGTCTCTTATTTTGGAACATCATGGCCACAGACGACAATGGGGATGCCATAAGTCTATTCCCTATTTTACTGCAGCAGAACTCAGCTTTCCCAGATGAACCCCATCCTGTACTTGGTTTCAGTGCTGCTTACTCCAGAATTAAGTGCACTCTAAGCACAGTCAGTCTTGACTATTCTGGTAACTTGGAATCCGATCTGCATCAAAATGACAGTGGGAGCGGGTAAGATGAAAGCTAGGGGTAGACGTTTCAGGACAGGGCACATGAAGTGTTCTGAGGACTTTTCTCTTAGAGTTAATAAAATTTGAAAATTAAAAAGAAAGGGGTTTAAGGACTGTCTGTCACTCAGCAACTCAGGAGCCTGCTTCAATGGCAAGTCTGAAACATTTATGTAACATGTTAGATTTTAGTCAACTAAAATGTAAGTGCTATTCTGGTTGTGTGTAGGATTTAATTCTTGCCATTCCTAATGGACTGCTGCTCCTTCTGCAGCTTGACACAGGCAATGAGTATTATGTGCAATTTCCTAAATTAATAAAAAGCAATTCACCTAAAACAGTTGCACAAGTGATAGATACACTATTAGAAGGTATAAAATGCTGTACTGAGCTGTAAAGGAACATGTTTTAGTGATCAGATTTGCACCATTGCTTGAAGTAATATGTGAGGAAGTATCAGTGATTTTTTTTTTTGGTGTTAAGGCAATGATTTAAATCACCTTGATTTAAATCAACCCTCTCTGGAGGTAGCTCTAGGAATATTTTATGGGGAGCCTCCTTCTGACATGGAGTCATCATCAGAGAAAAGTGCAAAGGGGCTGGTGTGAGAACGCACTGATGGGCAATGGAGATGGACATCCTGGGTTGCTTGCAGGTGGCCCCCCATGGCATGGTACCCAGGGCCATCCTTACCCATATGTAGAACACACAGCAGCTTAAGGCACTTGAAAATTTGGGGGCACCAATGGATCTTAATGGTCACCCCCCTTTTCTTCCTATCTCTGGTCTGTGGCTCTGCTTCCTCCAGAGAGGATCCCCTTAACTTAAAAGTGAACAAGCCTGCCAGAGCTATTAGTAGAACATTGATCCTGTGAGAGCCATTCGGGTGCTAATGAAGCCATTGAACAGGCATTTGCCAGCCCCAGGTTCATCCTGTCAGTTTCTGATTTCACTGTGTTAGTGGAGGGGACCTTAGTTTAAAATTTGCTTTAAACCTGTTTCATTCGTGTTGCTGAAGGTCATAAAATCACATCTGTAAAAAATCATCCCCCGGCTGTTGTCGGGGTTTAGGGCACCAGTTTGATAGTCCTGGCCAGGGCCCATAAATCCTAAGGAAGGTCCTGATGGAATCCTCTCGGCTCCCAGAGCCCCATGGTTAAAACAAAGGCCCCTGTAGAGTTATTCACACCTCAGCCTGCGCTCCCCAGTAAGGGCAGTGACAGTCCATCCTGGGCAGGAATCAGGGGGATTATCTGCAGCACCTCATCTGCATTAACTGTGCTGCATGGGACGACTCGTGACCTAACTTGCCATCGGCCCTGCTTCCCCAACAGGCAGATTTCCCGCTATTCCTCATCTCCCACGTTGGGCTGGCCCTCTCCCTGCTGTGCCTCCTCCTCGCCATCCTCACCTTCCTCCTGTGCCGCTCCATCCGCAACGTCAACACCTCCATCCACCTGCAGCTCTGCCTCTGCCTCTTTGTGGCCGATCTTCTCTTCCTCACAGCGGTGGACCGTACCAGGCATCAGGTAAAGTGCTCCCTACCCCAACATAGCGCCTCAGATGGCAGGCAGTGTGGCCTGGTGGATAGAGCACTGTATGGAGACCTGGGCTCTAGTCCTTGCTTTCCTATTTGTGACATTGGGCAAGTCACCTCCCTGCCTGGTGCCTCAGTTTTCCCATCTGTAAAATGGGGGTAATGATCTTCATCTTCTTTGAAGAGTAAGAGATTTTTGGGTATGTGGCTAGTGGTTTGTTGGGGATGTGGCTAGCCTTTAAGGCAAAGAAGAGACCCTGGGACAAACTCCTTCTCACAAAGGTAGTTCCTGATCTGGGGAGGAGGATGTTGGCAATCAGTATCAAGTGAAGTGCCCCAAGGATAAGTCCTTGGTTTTCTTCAACATCTTTATTAATGACTTGGAGGAGGGGATGGATTGCACTCTCAGCAAGTTCACAGTTTATGGATTATACTAAGCTATGTGGAGAAGTAGATACATTGGAGGGTATACAAATTGGAGGATTGGGCCAAAAGAAATCTGATAAGGTTCCACAAGGCAAGTGCAGAGTCCTGCCCTTGGGACGAAAGAATCGTAAGCACTGCTATAGGCTGGGGACTGACCGGCTAAGCATCTGTTAAGCAGAAAAGGACCTGTAGATTACAGTGGATGAGAAGCTGGATATGAATCAACAGTGGGCCCTTGTAGCCAAAAAGGATCAAGGGAAGTGATTATTCCCCTTTGTTTGGCACTGGTGAGGCCACATCTGGAATATTAAGACTAATTTTGGGCTCTCCATTAGAGAAAGAATGTGAATGCATTGGAGGGAGCCCAGCGGAGAGCATCAAACATGATGAGGAGGCTGGAGCACATGATTTACAAGAAGAGGCTGAGGGATTTGGGTTTAGTCTACAGAAGAGATGAGGGAGGGGGGATTTAATAGTAGCCTTCGACTATCTGAAGGGAAGTTCCAAAGAGGCTGGAGAGAGGCTGTTCTCAATGGGGACAAATGGCAGAATGAGGAACAACAGTCTCAAGTTGCAATGGGGGAGGTCTAGGTTGGATAACAGGAAAACCTATTTCCCTAGGAGGGTGGTGAAGCACTGGGATAGATTCCCTAGAGAGGTGGTTGAGTTTGGGATGGTCCTGGTTTGAGCAGGGAGTTGGACTCAGTGACCTCCTGAGGTCTCTGCCATCCCTGTGATTCTATGATGCAGGTGGGTCTAGGGGTAAATCACACTTCGTTATTCACTTTTTCCACAGGTTTGATCATTTTAAAGACTTTTATTGTATCCCTCCTGATATATTTTCCAAGCTGAAAAGTTCCAGGCTTTTGAATCTCTCATAGTGAAGCTGTTCCATACCTCTAATGCAGCAGAGGAGAACCTTTTTTGGGTTGGGAGCCACTAACCCACAGAGATATCAGTTGAAGACCACCCACAAGTGAATCATAGAATCATAGGACTGGAAGGGACCTTGAGAGGTCATCGAGTCCAGCCCCCCGCCCTCAAGGCAGGACCAAGCTCCGTCTACACCATCCCTGACAGATGTCTATCTAACCTGTTCTTAAATAGCCCTCAAGGCAGGACCAAGCTCTGTCTACACCATCCCTGACAGATGTCTATCTAACCTGTTCTTAAATATCTCCAGAGAGGGAGATTCCACCACCTCCCTTGGCAATTTATTCCAATATTTGACCACCCTCACCCGTGAGAAGAAAAAAAACACCCCACACAACATCAAGTGATGCCCCACTCACAGCAAAAGCCTCTGGGGCTTGCCCAGCTATGGCTGCTCCTTCTTCCCATTTCTCAGCTCCCCACTTTGGGAAGGGGTTCTGGGGTTTGCCCAACTCTGGCCACTCCTTGCAGTGAAGACAATGGGGTGGTCTTCCTCTTCCCTCCCACGCCTGCAAGGGATTTCCCCTCCCCCGCT